CCCATCCCAAATGGAGAATCCAGCACTTGCTCCTGTTAAATTTCATACAGCTGGTGATTGCCCAGCTCTCTAGTCTATCCAGATCTCTCTGTAAGGCCTCTCTACCTTTGAGGGAGTCCGCAGCTCCTCCTAGTTTAGTATCAGCAGCAAGCTTACTTAATGTACATTCGATTCCTGTGTCTGGATCATTTATAAAAATATTGAAGCGCGCTAGCCTGAAAATTGAGCCCTGGGGAAGCCCACTGGTGACTGGCCGTCAGCCAGATGTAACTCCATTTACTATAACTCTCTCTTATTAAGCCATGTGTTATTCTTACTGAGATCCACAAAGAACCCGGCACCATCTCTCTCTCTCTCTCACCTCACCAGGCTCCCAACCCCACTGCTGCAGAACAGGAATGGAAGAGAGGAAAAAAGGGATGGAGAGGCAGAGGAGTGCAGACAGTAAAAGAGGGGTGGGAGCCAGACAGAGGGGGAGTGGAAGAGACAGATGGAGGTGGACAGAGAGATGGATAGGGAAGAAGAGGAATGGCTAGGTGGACAGAGGCATGGGAAGAGAAAGATAGGGACTATGAGCTGGACATAGAGATGAGGAGCTCAACAGGAGGAGGCAAAAAAGAAGAATGGAGGGCCAGAGGGATTGGAGCAGAAGAAAGCAAAAGAGGGATGTAGAAGTGGACAAAGGGATGAAACAAGGAAAAGAGGGAAAGGTCATCGAACAAATCAATAGGGTGCCAGACAGGAAGACAGAGAGAAGGATGGAGAACCTGACAGAGGGACAAAGAACAATGGGGATGGGTATCAGCAGAGATGGCTAGAAAGACAAAAAGAGAACCAGGCAGCAAGTGAGAGAAAGAGGGATGGATGGATGGACGGACAGTCAGACAGAGGGACAGGGAACTGAAGAGAGGGATAAAAAGGGAAAAGGGGAACAGGGAGCCAGAAGTACACAGAGTGGCAGAGAGGGATGTAGATGTGGACAGAGGGATGAAAAAGGAAGAACAGGAGAGGAAAAGTGTTTTGTAGAGTCAGATAGAGGGACAGGGAACTGGAGAGAGGGGTGGGGAACAAAGACAGGAAATTAAGATAAGATTGAGAGGATCAGAGGGACAGGTAACCAGATCCATGGAGAGAAAAAGAGGGATGGAGAACCACAGAGAATACATAGAGTGGAAATGAGGGTCAGGAAGCTGGACAGAGGTACAGGGAGCCAGGCAGAGGGGACAGAAAGGCAGAGAGAGATGGAGAGGTGCACAGAGGGATGGAAAGGCAAAGAGAGCAATGAAGAGGTGGACAGAGGTTAGAGGGCCAAAAGGAGGGGGAAGAGAGGCAGATGGAGAGCCTGACTGAAGGATGGGGAGAAAAAAAAACAGAAAAACAGAGATGTGGAACTGGACAGAGGGATGGTGAGAGAAAGAAAAGGTTGGAAAGTTGGAAGGAGAGACAGGAAGTGGAAAAGAGAGACGTATGGACCCAGACAGAATGATGAGGAGGGGAGGAGACGAAAAGAGAGATTAAGAGTCAGGCAGAGGACAGGAAGGGCACACAAGCAGCAGGACAGAGGGGGATTAAGAGGGACTGGAAAGGGGTAGAGGGACTCGAGTAGGAAGAGGCAGAGGGATAGGCAGAGTGATGTGGGAGGTATGGAGAGAAGGGAGGGATGAAGAGCAGTGCAATAGATGGAAGGAAGGACAGGTGGAGAGGCAGGCAGCAATGGGAAGCAGGGGACATGCAGAGGGGGGCAGGGAGGGACTGGACCAGGGAGGAGGGAGACACAGACCATCGGACCTGGGACTCACTGCATGTTCTGTTCTCAGTGCTGCCCAAACAATTCTGCAATTCAGATGTTTCTCTATCACTTCCTGTTTTGTAGCTCCAGTTGCTTAACTAACATCCACTTAAGAAAATAACTTAGTGTCTTATAGCTCTTTATAAGACTTCACTGATGCATAAAATCATGTACACACAAATATATATATATGTATGTAGCATACTTTCTGTTGTATGTAAAGCTTGAATTATATGTTGGTGATCTATTATCCTGATGAGTATGACTATTGATAGTGATCCTTCCTCACTAGGAGAAACGGGGTTTCTTTTATTTGGAGATAGAAACATTTTGATCCACTTAATTTTATTCTTCAGCTAGTTTACCTTCTTCTGAGTTCTTCAACTTAGCTATGCCAATTACTCTAAAAACCATTACATGTAGTTCATATGCCTATATGATAAAACAGAACAGAAACAACCAAAGCGATGCTAAGCCAAATATAGTCAATGGTATCTACAGGAAGAATGGATTACTTAATCCTCAGTGCTGCCCCTGGGAGACAAAACCAAGCAGTTTTAAACAGAAGTTATTTTAGTCCACGCTAGAACTCCTACTTCTGTAGAACTTTCTGGCGATATCACTGTTTCCCCTAATTGATTCTAATGACATGTTATATGAGAATTAAGTGTATTCAAGGGCTAGCTTGCTGCTGTTAGGACAGCATTTGAGGGTTTTCTGAGGCAATGGGACAGGCTGTGGGGAAGGTTCTGGAGCTGGTGAAAAGTTGGGCCAGAGTATGGAGTATTTCAGTGTTGGGGCTGGGTGGGGGCATCATTGGGGGCTTTGTACAGGACTTATAGATGGTTTCAGAACTTCTAGGGGCTGTTTTGGTGGGTGGGGGAGAAGTGTGCAAGGAGGAAGGAGAGAGGTTGCCTTAGGGGGTCAGGGTGGGGGTCCCATCCCAGAGGCATGCTGAGTGCATGTGGGTCCTGCGGCTGGCTGGAGAGAGAGCAGAGGGCACGGGGGACCCAGGGCTACAGGCAGGCTTGTGTGGGGTGAGCAGGGCTGGGCAAGGCTTGGGGAAGCTTTAATGGGTTAGGGAGGCACCCGTGGTTCATGCCAGGGGGCAGGGAGGCTGCCGGGTCCCAGAGTGGGGTGGGGGGGATGTGTTTTTTCTCCATCTTCCTGCCTCCCCAGCCGCAGCTCTCCAGTAAACTGTCCTAGGGTTGCATTTATTGTGCTGATAGCACATTTCCATACATTCCGTATGGTATGTCTAAATATTTGGATGGTTTTAATATTTTGTACCAGCTGTGGAAACTGGTTTGCTGCTAGGTGACTGTAAAAGTGAGATTTGGTAGATAATTATTAGAAATCTTATACTAACACTACGATTGAAACAACAGACAAAAGTATAGACAAGCAATTAACTAGCAGAGGTAGGTATTCCCAAGTTTTGCAGTTCTTTGCTCCTATGACTAGATGTTCCTGTACGCTAGATGAGAACAATGTTGAAAACGACCACATGTGATTGAAACTGCATTAAGCTTCAAGATCAAAGAACAAGGACAAGAATAAAGACTTCAAGGACAGCCAACAAGAACTTCAAATGCGTCGGTGGTCGTAAAAGCAGCCCTTTGCCTCAAATGGATCCTTCATTGCGCATGATCGGATGTAGGCAGTACTATGATAATCAGTTACCATCGTTTTTATGTATATGTATACTAATCTGATTAATATGCAATTAGTTATTCTATATAACCTGTTTGTGCTAAAGCTGTGGTACACACGCTAGGTGGAACCATCCCCCGTGCATCCAGCGCTGCAATGAAGAACGCCTGCTTTCTAAAACTCCAAAACGAGTCTTAGAGAGCTTCTTCGACCGGCTTTTCAGTATCAGTGCCCGATTCAAAATATCCTTAAATCTGTTCGGTCGGTGGGTTTTAAACTTCCTTGCGACCCGCCACCAATCTCGGGCAGGCGTGCCCAGCAGCACCGTCGCCCGAGCCGCCGCGCCACCGTCCCGCTCCAGGACCTGCCTGCCACTCCCGGCCGGCCGTGACCCCGGGGGCGAGCGCACCGGGGCCCTCCCGGCAGGACAAGGCTCGGGCAAATCCCCCTCACCGCACTCCCAAGAAGGGTCTGCGTCGCAGCCCCCCCGGTGCCGGGCTTAGGTCCCCTGCCGTGCCGCCTCCAGCGACCGGGAGACATCCACCGCTACCGAAGCATCTCCCTCGCCTCGC